AATACAGTGGTCAATATTTAATAAATAGGGTGATTATGGGTGACTATGCTGTAAATGTCAATACGTATGAAAATAAAGGAAACTATAACAAATAGAATCCTAGCTAATGGGTAACTACACTGTCACTGCAGTTGCTAATTCCCTAATTGTTCTCAGGGGCTTTAGAGGGCAGACTGTAACAATTGGTGTATATTATTGTTGTTAATATTAACAAAACTCCACTCATCCGCCTAGCCTGACTGTAAACTTGGGGTATCAATGTGCAAAAGATGGTGTGTCTAAGCAATGTGAAAAACAGTTTTGAGTAGTTTTATATCATTGCAGTGTGAACACACATGTGCTTATTAAACCTATATTTGTACGTGTCTGTTTGACAAGAGAAAAAAAAATATATGTAAAAAAAATTGATATAAAAACAGAAATGGGCATTTGGACTACCCCAGTCTGTTGAGAGCAGCAAAGAGTGCTTATTCCAGTACATCCGAGATGCAGCCATAGCCCTAGCTGAGTCCATCTCCAAGCGCAGGAGTATTTGAGTTTGCTGTTTTCCCTGCATTCACTATATCTGGTCTCCCACAGTACATGGAAATGCAATTATTTTAGTAAATATAAAGAGTTGTGACTTCTATCAGTCTCCAGCAGAGCACTGGTTAAAGCTTGTAGGAGGAGTTTTCATTTTGCTCTAGGAGGATGCAGAACCCCTGGTCTCTGTCTGGACAGTGCTGATTGGCCCTGTGCTGATCCACATGCGCTCTCAGGACAAAAAAAAAAAAATCCTCTCTAGCAATACACACCAAACTGAGCATTTGCAGAGTGACTCCACACGATATGTCTTATCAGGAGATAAGAGGGGGACACTGGAAGAAGGGGAGGATCAGAGAGGTCAGGATCAAAAAGCCTTTTTACACAATGCAGTTGATTAATCCCTTAGCTTCCAAAGTGGGTATAGCTAGAATGCCTTACTACACTTTAAATGAAATCTGGTCACTGCAGCTTGCACAATCTTACTATACATTGCTTTGCACACATTCAGTTTAAAGCAACAGGTTCTTTTCACAAGTTATACCCCAACCCATCCACTGATACTTGCCTTTATCATACTCTCCTGGCAGTAAAACAGATAAAAGTGCATGGATCTTGTGTAATAAAAAAGTAACATTTTGTGAAACAAAAGAGGCAACTCACAAAAAGCTCAGCTATCAGGCCAGCATGCCAGGGCCAGTAGAGGAGAATGTAGCAGTTGTTACGGCTGCAGATGAGACCTGCTCATAGATGACAATGTAGTAGTGATCTGAACCTTCGGCTGCACTGGGAGAAAGGGCCAAGAATAAGGGAAACCCTTAGAAAATCAATGCCTCACCACTAGGACCCAAACTTGTATACCGCCTGCACCCCCTCTGTCTGTTCAGGTGTGGTGATTGCCTGCTAGTGCTTGAGCAATGCATCTTGGGAGGAAGGTGAGAAAGTTACATGGTCCCCCATATTTGGAATACCTGGGGGATACAACGGTTTTGCAGCCCCAATCTTCCTCAGCTCAGGTCCCCCTCCCAAGCGCTCCCAGTTCCTCCCCCGTCAAGTGCCCCCCAAAGCAAGATGCTTGCTACAGGGGCAGTGGTCCAAGCTTGCTCCTGAGCCGTGCTGTGTGGCAACTGACACACAAAGCATGGCTTAGCCCGGCGCTCCACTCTCTCCTCATTGGCTGTGACTGACAGCAGCAAGAGCCAATGGCTCCCACTACTATCTCTCTGTCCAGTGAGGAGTGAGAGTGAGGAGAGAGCCACTGCTCTAGTGCAGAGGGCTGCAATGAGATAAATCAGGAGCTGCACATAGGTTTTTTTTTTATCTCAGTGCAGAGAATGCATTAAGGTGAAAAACATTCTACCTTTTGAACCACTAGAAGTTTGGCAGCACTTACTAACAATACCATAGCAGCTTGTCAACTACTAACAAAGACAGAGAAATCGGCATGACAGCCATGTTTTTTAGAATTTGTTGAATGGGGTCAGAAATCTCCATATCTCCCTTGGGATAGGTTTCCTCTTTCAAGAACCAACACATCTAATCTACTGCCTGGTTCACATAAAGGGAACAATAAACAAAAAAAAAAAAAAACGTTATCTAGGAGGAGGTTTTGGAAAGTTTTAGAAACAAAGATAAAAGGAGAGTACATTCTCATTTCCCTTTTTGTTATCTTGATGGTGTGTACTTCAGGCAACCTAAACAGGCCAATAGCCAGGGCTAGACAAGTCCATCTAGAATGCTAGAATCCAATGTCAGAGCCAGGGAGCACACAATTCTGCTGACGGTAACAGACACTTTTCAGGCACACTCACTCTCAAAATGTCCAGAACCGCAATTGTAGTCAAGGTGTCAGAAGTGACTGATGGCCATCATGTTAAATGCCGGCTACAGTGAAAAAAGCTGCAATCCTTCATTAGCCTCAACTACTTGCTATGCTTTCAATACACCTGGTTACTGGAAGTTTGGCTCTCTTTTACTTTTGTGATTTCCACCAGCAAAGTGCTCAATGCTTTGACAGTAGAAAACACATTTCAAGGAGACAGAGCCTGAATACAGGGCAAAAGTACAAAAGATATTCTGACATCACGCAGGGTCAGAGACTTTTTTTAAAACGCAAAAAGGTGCGTTTTTGGTTCTATAGACTTCAATGGAGACACTGCAGAAAAGCATGTAGTGCGTTTTTTATCTGCCTAGCAACGAGAAAAAAAAAAAACGCATTAAAAATTGCGCCAAAAATGCAAAACACACCGCAAAAACAGATCAAACACAAACTGCATAGGTGTGAACCTAGCCTAAGATGTGATGAATCCTTATAGGCGGTATCTCACCAAAAATTGTATTTTTCTTTTTGCAGAGGATGCACTAAAGCCTGACTTGTATCTTAGTGTATCGTTCTTTACACAAGCAGGAAAGGACATTTCTGGAGGCATTCTGTACACCAACTGTGTATGGAACGCCTCCAGAAGCCACATTGCATTGATTTTTTAGATAATTATGGCCATTGGAGTTTAAAAAAGGAAAAGGTATTTTTTACTAACATTAAATTACAATATGGCTTGTGTAGCCATTGTATATGCTACATTAATTTTTGTTTCACTCACTATTTATTTTCTATGAAAGTGGAGTAAGGGCCCTTTCACACTGATCAATTTTTGATGAGATTTTGGTGATTAAAAAGTGGAACAACAATGCATAAAAATGTATTCCTTTAAATCCTATGGAACTCTTCACACCAATGTGCTGAAGGTGCGGCATGTTTTTAAAAGTACATGCTGCATTTTTGGTGCATGTTTAAAAAACCGCACAAAAATGCACCTCCCCGTTGAAATTAATGGAAAATGCATAAAAAAATGCACCACAGTTGTTGTGTGTTTGGTGCACTTTTTGAGTCACATGTTTATGTTTCACAGGTGCATGATTGGAATCGGGCAATCAAAAAACGCACCAAAAAACACAAAAAACTCAGAAACCCATATGCGTTAATACATTTTTCTAACAGAGCAGTGCAAAAAGAAGCCTTGCCCTTTAAGTCCCTTCCACTACCACATGAAGTTCCATCAGACTCCCTGAATCAGGATGATCTGCTCAAGAAGGCAAATTTCTCAAAGAGGCATGTGGCTTTACTGCGCCACTGACAGTCTTAGGTTGCCTACCATTCACACAAGTATATCTATCTGTGTATGTGTGTCTCTACGTTTGTTACAAATCATCTGTCACTTCTGCCATATTACAGGATATACCTCCAAATAATATTTAAATTTACATTGAAGATTATTGATCTTTTTAAATTTTCTGTAACTTCATATATCAATGTAGTCCATGACCTCTTTGAAAATATCTTTATAATTAATAGCACGGCAACATGGTAAGCAGGAAATGATACCGGACACACAAGTTAGTTATTACAGTAAAAAAATATTTCAGTATCTGTAAAGGAAACAGGCAATTTACTAAACATGACTACAACATTTTATTGTGAAATTCTGCTTGCTGAGAAAACGGTGTATTCAGTAAATTTATCTTTGAAAAAAAGAAAAAAAAATATCAACATTAAAAAGAGGGATAAAATTAGACATCTTTAAAACACACAGAAATAGCGGTGGCCAGGCTCAAACTTCGAGGAGGCAGGAGGAAAGAGGATGGAGCATTAATGGTACAGAAACAATCAGAACAAAAAGCACTGATCGCGCCAACGCCTGGCTGTGATAACCACTTCCTTTTCCTGTTTCTGAAACCCCATCCTGACAACGCAGGCCGTACAGCAGAGCCTGCAAAGCTAAACAACCATCTGCCTTAAACAGAGACTGCCAGCTTCTGGCTCTCCTGATGCAAAGGAATAGGAGTCCCAGCATGGCCATGCCAGCTGGAGAGCCCATACACTGACGACAGCTAGAGATTGGGCCCGGCAAAGCAATGTACAAACATCTGAGACATATATATTTATATAGAAAGGGAAGATCAGTTTTTGTGAAGCAGAATAAAGTTCCCCCCCAAAAAATTATGCTGCTATGCATCCCAGAACAAGCACAAGCTTCTGGAGAGGCTAAACAGCACTGGGTGCTGCCCTTCAACCCCCCAAAAAGAGATCCTGCAAAAAAACAAAAAAATAAAATGGCACCTGCCTACCCAACTCCTTTCAGAGTCCTAGAACACATGGCACACATAGCACAGGAGAGCAACCCTTGCTCGAAAAAGGTCCTGTAGGATGGGTGGTGGAGCAGATCTCCTCACCTGTGTCCAACGTGGAGAGGACCCACAGAAGGTGGCACTGGCTTCCCCTTCCCCATCGTGGAGGCTTCCTCAGAATAAGGCAGTGTGGCTGACATTAAAAGAGAGGCACGCAGTTTTTGCAATGGACCCCTCGTCGGCCCACTTTGCAGGTGGGAGTTGCAATGTTGGAGAGGGGAAGCAGGTGGAGTGCATGAGGAAAAGGGGTGGTGGGGGGAGGTTGTTTCCTTTTTTTGAGACTTGGTTGCATCTTAAAGCAGATTGCACGTGTTTTTCTTACGCCCTCGCTTGGCTTGTAGAGCAGCTCTTGTCGCCATCTCAAACACTTCCCGCACACCGTCCTTTGTTTTGGCAGAGCATTCCAGGTAGCCAAAGGCTCCAATCCTATTGGCCATGTCCCGGCCTTCTTCTGGCTTCACTGGTTCCTACACAGAAATGAAAATCAGAGACAGAAACAACTGTAAAAAATCTGCATTTCTTCCCTAAATAAGATGTATTCTAGACACATGCATGCAGAACAAAAATGTAACAATTATATCTTCTTTGACTCTAATTTATCCAGAAACATGACCTGTCCATCACAACTTTTTTCAGCTCACAGCTCCATCCCTCTTTCCTCCCATGTCCCAGTCCCCAATCCCTCTCTCTACCTCCTGGTTCCCAGTCCCCATACCTCTCCCTACCTCCTGGTTCCCAGTCCCCATACCTCTCCCTACCTCCTGGTTCCCAGTCCCCATACCTCTCCCTACCTCCTGGTTCCCAGTCCCCATACCTCTCCCTACCTCCTGGTTCCCAGTCCCATACCTCTCCCTACCTCCTGGTTCCCAGTCCCCATACCTCTCCCTACCTCCTGGTTCCCAGTCCCCATATCTCTCCCTACCTCCTGGTTCCCAGTCCCCATACCTCTCCCTACCTCTGGTTCCCAGTCCCCATACCTCTCCCTACCTCCTGGTTCCCAGTCCCCATACCTCTCCCTACCTCCTGGTTCCCAGTCCCCATACCTCTCCCTACCTCCTGGTTCCCAGTTCCCATACCTCTCCCCATCCCCACCCTCTGGTTCCCAGTCCCCATACCTCTCCCCGTCCTCTGATTCCCAGTCCCCATACCTCTCTCCACCTCCTGGTTCCCAGTCCCCATACATCTCTCCACCTCCTGGTCCCCAGTCCCCATACCTCATTCCATCCCCTGGATCCCAGTCCCTATATACACCTCTCTCCACCTCCTGGTTCCCAGTCCCCATACCTCATTCCATCTCCTGGTTCCCAGTCCCTATACTTATTTCCACCTCCTGGTTTCCAGTCCTTTTACCCCTATCCACCTTTTGGGTCCCAGTCCCCATTCCGTTCCCCTCTTCCAGAGTCCCAGTCCCTATCCTTTTTACCTTATCAGCCTACTTCTCCTATTACACAATAACAACACTCTTCCTTCCTCTAAACTCTCAACCACTTCAAGACCGGGCCCTTTTTTTTTTTTTTTTTTTTTTTTTTTTGTTTACATGTAAATATCAGTATTTTGTGCTTGAAAACCACAAACATTAGATATTTTTTTAAAGCAAAGGCCCTAGAGAATAAAGTGGTGGGTGTTGCAATTTTTAATGCCACATGGTATTTGTGCAGCGGTTTTAAAAATGCACATTTTTTTGGGGGCAAAAAATACACTTTAATTAAGTTTAATGTACAAAAACATAATACAATACTCAGTTGTTTGTTAAAATATAAAAGCTGATGTTAAGCAGAGTAAATAGATACCAAACATGTCATGATTTAAAATGCCCACAACTGTGCATTGAGACAAACTACGTACATTTTATTATTCATTACAGGTTACCACTTTAAATATACACAGAAGGTCTGGTGCTAGAATTATTGCCTGAGATCTGATGTTCGTGTGATACTTCATGTGTGGTGCGATTGCAGTTGACACATGGACACGGGACCGACGTGTGCATTTGCCTTTTGTGTGCGAGATCAGGGTTCATTAATCATCCCTTGTGTTAAAAATAAGCAGTGACAGGTACTCTTGACTGAGCGATCTGGGGTCTATTAGACCCCAGATCTTTCCTCTGCCCTTAAAAGCTTTGGATCATACCAAGATCGGTGTGATCCAATGATTTTTTTCAAAGCAATAATGGTTTGTTGACATCCAGTGAAACCAGACGTGACTAAATATTCATAGTTTCCGATTTCTCATACCATGGAGACGATCTGTTTTGGTCCCCGATCAGCTCTATGGACAGCTGGTGGAACCGTCAGCTGCACTCTTGGCTTCCCTGGTGGGATGAGAGAGCCTGAGAAGGCTGGGAAGGTGGTAAAATTAGCTTCTACCTAATTAGCCACTAGGAGTGCTTTTGCAAGAAAGTCAGCCACTGAATGAAAAAAACCCAGATACCGGGATGGTGCCTGCAGCTGCAGGCATCATCCAAGTATAACCACTCAAAGTTGGACGACATATCCCTATGTCGCTTAGCATTAAGTAGTTAAAAAGTATAGCATTATGATAATTTGCCTTACACACACCTGTTTCATTTTAGCCAGCTCACGACGAGTGTGCTCATCGTTCCTTAAGTCCTTCTTGTTTCCCACTAGAATTATAGGCACATTGGGGCAAAAATGCTTCACTTCCGGAGTCCACTTCTCTGGGATATTTTCTGCACAAGACACAATAAGAAACATTACAGTGCGTTTCCAAACAGCAGCTGCCACAGTGCTACAAAACTACAAGGAGAACCTGGAAAGCAATAGTAGGGGTTCATTTGAGTGTCTGAAATAAGAACTGCCTGGGTTGCCCAACAGTAGCATCACAGTTACACCTTTTGCAGTACAAATATTTGGTTTCTTATAGTAAGGAACATTCTAGTGAGGAAATGTACTAAAGTTTGAGCAGACAAAATCTGGAGCAGTTGTGTACAGTAGCCAGTTTCTAACTTAAAGCGGAACTTTACTCATAACAGCTTGTTAAAAATAATGTTCATTAGCCAGGAACATACATTCCATATTAAAGTGTAACTTTAGTCAGAAAATTAAGTCCTGCCAGATCACTTTAGCCTGATCCCATTTGCAGGTATAGCTATGTAAAACATTAAAGATAAGTGCCTATACTGTTTAAAATCCAATAATACAATGTCTCACCCTGCTCTGCACATGCTCAGTCGCCCTCCACTTTTAGGCATTTTTAGGCACTGTGCCGAATTCGTACAGGCCGATCTGATCTGATGGTTTTATGCAGGCCATAGATGGGTCAAAAACTGGCCATCTTTTTATAAAAAAAACAAAAAAAATTGGTCGTTCGATCGGCCGACGTTATCACCAACGGTCTACGGCCGGCATTTAATTACTTCTGTCCCTTGCAGAGAGCTCCGCTATTATATTTGACATGAAAAGGTATTGCGGTTGCAACAATGTATTTGTATCCATTTCGGATAAAGACGGTTTAATTCGAATACAAATAGATACATTGTTGCAACCGCAAGACTTTTTCATGTCAAATATAATAGCGGACTGGAATTCTTCTTCTTCTTGCAGGTCACGGCTCATGTGCAGATTTTTTAATCAGTAAAATGATCGGCCGATTTGCCCATCATTGCCGGGAAAATCAGCCGATCAGCAAAATGGGCCAATTTTTTTTCCAACTTTACCGATGATAAAAATGTACCAAAACCCCAAAAAACGCCCGACCAATTAACCCACTAACGGTGCGAAAAATCGGCCGATTTTTTTTTTTGGGCAGGAAAAAAAAAAAAAAAAAATCAGCCGATTTTGACCCATCTATGGCCTGCATAAATCTTAAAGCAGAACGAACATGAATGCTAACTGTCACATTTGCCTGTGTTCTCAAACAAACTGTCAAACTATCAAATGACTGGTGTTATAACTGATCATATGTGCAGCACCATGGCAGTTGCAGATCAAACAGATGGCAGCTTCCTTGGCTAAAAGGATAGAAGGGTTTAGTTCTGCTTTAACTGCTGCTCAGGGGCTCTGGGCTTCAGCAAAATGGCAGCCTCCAGCAAGCAGAAACAGGAACAATGCTGGAGGCAGTTTACAGCACACACTCATTTCAGTAGCATAATTCTTAATGTGGAATGTATGTTCCTTGCTAAAGAACATTATTTATAATTAAGTTGTTATGAGTAAAGTTCTGCTTTAATAATTAGGCTACCAAAATGAGTGTGTGCTGTAAACTGCCTCTGGCATTGTTCCTGTTTCTTCTTGCTGGAGGCTGCCATTTTGCTGAAGCCCAAAGCAGAAGTAAATCATAAACACACTACCTCTCTTAGGTTTTGGTATGCTGGATGAGGTAGTATGCAGGCACCTTTGGACAGCAGCAATGTCAGTCCAGGGAGGGGATAGTATTAGCCTAGCCCTAGCAGATTTAGATGAACTCCAGCGAAAACTTAAGCAGTTACAGTATTTTTTTCCCTTTGGGATATAGGTTTTACATATATGAATAAAAGCTGATCATTGTATGCACCCGTCAGTGTTAAATAATTTGTCTGAATCCTAAAAGCTCAGTGTTTCTTAACCTTTTTTCAGTCTAGGCACCCTTTAAAACAATGCACAATTCTCCACGGAAACCAGTTTCTAAAATGTGAAAAACGAAACTAATAGTTTTACATAACGCAGTAACATCCACATACACAGGACACCCAATGTTAGAGACGATTTCTTCTTTCAAAGCAACTCCACCTTTGCACACTGGTACTGACAGTATTCCATTTTTTCTCTTCTCCCTCAGTTTCTCTCCTTCACTCATCTAATGTGAACCCAGTGCTGATGGAGAGGGGCAGGGGAGGGCAAAACAAAGATGCTGTTCAGGCACCCAATGTCCTACTTATCAACCTATGACATAATTTGTGGTTAGAACACTGGCGGAAGGAAGGTAGTAATGGTGCACAATGAAAACCTGAGGCTTCGGGTAACTAAAAGGCAGGCTTAAGCCACCCGCCAGCTTGTATACAGTTTTGGGCAATTTTTAGGCATTTTGCAAAGGCACCATGGTTGAAAGATGCCGCTCTAACTGCTACTTTGTCTGAACAGCTTGGTCTATTAAACCAATTGAAAAACAACAGACTTACTCAGTGGATCACCTGGTGGAAATAGAGTAGAAGAGCATAAAAAAGGAAAACTAATGCAGCCACCGCATCTAAGAGTTGGTAAGCTGCAATTTATAAATTTTTTTATGGTGGGGGGGGGGGGGGCAGGGGTTAATACCTCTTTCATAAATTCCTTTGTGTTCAGACATTCTGAAGGACAATAATTTACTGTAGTTTCACAAAAACAGGAAATGTTATTAAACCCTATAGGTACAGGGACACCATTTGGACTTCCAAGATTTCCTTTCAAAAAGATAATTGTGAGATGTGGGACATGGAGAGTGGCCAACATGCACAACGGGGTCTAACTAAACTGACAGATAATCATTAACCCTATACCCATGGCTCCAGCTGGCCCTTTAAAATGACAGTAGGTGGACTCCCAAACACGTGATCACTGTGATTGGCTGTCACAGTGGTCAAGTGATTAGGAGCTTTGTGCTACAGGCTCTGGATCATAAGCAGCAACTGGGAGCTGTCAGTGACAGCTTGGTCGAGTGCTGGGGGCGCTAAGTAATTCTGAAACAGTGACACAGGCTGTACACATATATGTGGCTTAATGGTGTTAAAGCTCACTGACATGCTACCACATACGTGCATAAAGCCAGAAGCCAAAAGATTAACCAAAAAGGGGAACTCCTGCCAAAACTTTTTATTTTTGTAAAAATATTAATAGTGCCGCGCTCACTACTTGCCTTATATATGCATAAATTCAGATCTACTCTTTTCCAATGAATATATATATTGAAACCGCTTCCCAAAAATCCATAAATCACTATACTTATTGGGTGAAAGCATCACTGTGCTGGTGAATCAGGATGGTTTGCGAACGCTTAATAAATTAGGCTGATCTCAATCAGTCAGGAGTAACCAATATTGAAATTAGAGTGTGTATAAATACTTGGTGCCACTCATCAATCCCAATATTGTGCGTTTGCGGTGCGGTTAATATTAATGTGCAAGTGCAAACATAATAATACATGAATAAATTTGTGGGGTCGTTTTAAGTAAGTGCAAACGCCTGAGTTCCAATTCCCTTAAACCTCAGGTGCTTGTGCGGATCTCCCTTGCGCGAGCCTTAATATTTCCGCAAAAACAATTCAGGCAAACCAACGCTTTTTAACAGGATTGAGGGGCGTTTGGCAAGCTGTTGTATAAACATGCCGAGGTGAAGTGTAGATCTATTATGGATACTCCTGTACTCTCCTCTCTCTCCTTAGGCTGCTGCTCATAGGTGAGTATTTACACCAGCTCTATAGGGATCTCCTTGTTCCCCTCCTGGGGTCACCTCCTTCTCATATCCTCCTTTCTCCAGTGATTTAAAGCCTGTTGTGGGATCTGCTAGCAGGTCAAGTGTAATGGATTACACTTGACCTGCTACCAGATCCCACAACAGGCTTTAAATCACTGGAGAAAGGAGGATATGAGAAGGAGGTGACCCCAGGAGGGGAACAAGGAGATCCCTATAGAGCTGGTGTAAATACTCACCTATGAGCAGCAGCCTAAGGAGAGAGAGGAGAGTACAGGAGTATCCATAATAGATCTACACTTACCTCGTGGAACATCCTATACATCAGCATTATTCCATCAATCCTGGAAGGATTAAAAGTTTATTTGCCTGAATTTATTTGGGCAAATATTAAGGTGAGCGCATAGGGAGATCACAAGGCACCTGAGGCAAAAGGGAATAAGGAACTCACCTGCACATTGCACTTACTTCAAAAGACTCTTTATTTATTTATTCATGTATTATTATGTTTGCACTTGCACATTAATATTAATATATGTTTTTGCACAATATTGATGGATTGATGAGTGGCACCAAGTATTTATACACACTCTAATTTCAATTTATTGGTTACTATTAATTGATTGAGATCAGCCTAATTTATTAAGGTTCTTTTACAACCATTTTTTTTGATTCACCAGTCACAGTGATTATATATTATATTTCACCCAATAAGTATAGTGATTTATGGATTTTGCTGAGGTTTCAATATATATATTCATTGGAAAGAGAGTAGATTGAATTTATAATATATATAGCAATAGGAGCGCGGCACTATTAATATTTTTATTATTGTATTAACACTAGTAAGTGAGTCTGTGTGAGTGCCAGCGCACCAAGCGCATGACACTAGTAGATAATTATTTATTAATTATCTATAATTCACTGAAGACCTCATTTATAATAGCTCACAAGTATTTATTATTTATAGCAACTTTTTATTTTTGTAGTTTTGGAGTGAGTAGGGAAGGACTAACACCTCGGTCTGATTTTTACTATTGTCCCTATAGTCATGGAGAGTTTTTTTCCTCATTTTCTTGTCCAAAAAACACAATAAGAACAAAGAGGAAATCTCACCTTTGAGAACTGCCACCACTACTTCTGTTCTATTTAAAAGCTAATACTTTAGCTTGTCCCTCACTTTGTCTTAGTAACAGTGATAAATCCCCCAAACCAAGTTGCAGACAGCCCTATAAACCTCAGAGGTTCTGACCACTCGCCACTCAACAGAACCATAAAAATAAATAAAACCATTCTGGGAGAATTTCTAACTAAATCCAGGAGTGAAAGGTATAAGAGTACCATACTCTTGACTCTTTTTCAACCATTTGGCAAGTGTGATGGACATTTAAGAGGAAGTGGCTTGTTCTGTATGCTCACCCAAACTATCAGGGCTGTCTATGGAGAAACACATAAGAATGACATCAGTATCGGGATATGACAGGGGTCGAAGGCGATCGTAGTCTTCCTGGCCGGCTGTATCCCACAATGCTAGCTCCACCTGCACAAATTGAAAAAAAACAAAAAAAGTTATGCTTTTTGGCCTTTCTGAAAGCAAAACCTATCCAAATAGCTAGAATACCTCACATTTCTGTTCCGAAAGCCTTGTGATTTACACACAATTGGTCCATTGGAAAGTGGACAACATCATTATTCACTCTTGCATCCCTGGTCTTTTCTGTGTCACCTCCCTGCATCACCACATTTTATTATAATAGCCATAAAAAAATGTTATATGTAAAATTTGCGTAGAAAATTGGTGAGGAAGAAATTACAAAGGAAGGACCACAAACTGAAAGTGCTAGTCTCCCATAGCAAAGCATAGAAATCGTTGATGTTTAGGAAAAAAAAAAGGGAATGTGAAAATAGGCGTCTTCAAAGTCTACAGATGCCAGAAATTCCCTTGCTCTGAGAGAGGCAATGATGGATCTTGCGGACTCCAGGCAACATTTGGGGACACGTAGACATCTGTTAATGGATTTTAAATCCAAAATGAGGCCAATGCCTCAGTTCGATTTTGGGACCATGAATAAATCTTTGAACTTTTCTTCTGCAGGAACTGGGATTACCAGTCCTTGTACCTGAAGTTGACTCAGGGCAGCCCACAAATCTGCCTATCTTTGAAGTGAAGTTAGGAGAATGGGAGCTAGGAACTGAGGCGGGGCAGAGATAGGAATTCTATTTTGCAGCCCCTGCAAATGACAGATTGGATCCAGAGGTCTGGGATGTCTCTAATGAAAACTGACACAAAGGTCAACAGATGTCCCCCCTCAATCTGGAGAGTGAGGGCACCATTTCATTGTGAAGAATTCTGGGTAGGCTTGGAGGGTTTTGGAAGCTCACGGTAAAACGCATATGGCATGAAGCTTGTGTCTCAGATTGCAGAAGATAAAAATTCCTCTATGGGATTTTTTTGTAGCATCCACCAAACCCTCAATATGCTTCTCGCAGAGGTTAGGAAGATCAGGGTCATAATCCTGAATACATTCAGGTAGTGGAGAGGTCTTTAGGATCTGTATAATAGCCTGTATAACACTCTGTGGCTAAATACACATGTTGCACCATGTGTCAAGAGGAGCACCAAATGCAGGTTCCAGCGCTCGAAACAAAGATAACAGGCTGGCCCCATCAATGCAGGTTCTAATGAGCAAGGTACATCGAGGGCAACCAATATGGAAACTGTTAGTGAGCATTGAGGCAATAAGCAGTTGGATATTAATAGACATGTCAGCTGAAGTAGCGAAAAAAAAAATAAAAAATTATTGGTGTAGAAACTTTTCCAGAGAAGAAGTCCACCACCCAAAGACACTAACGAAAACCTGGAGTCCCAAAAAAAAGTGGGATTCTAAGACGGTACACTGGGGGGTTGGTGGGCATTGCAAGCAAAGCCTTTGCCAGTGTCCAATCACCTGACGGTATCGGCATATAAACAGTACTGTGTTCTGTACTGTTCGAATAAGATATACTAATTCTTTCCTGTCCATTTAGTAACACAGGAAGTCTTTCACCTTCAAGATGTTCAAAAGCATTCCAACCGAGCGATGGGCAACAACTTATAACAGGCCCAAAATGAGCAAGAGAACAAACTCAGACTGCCTGCAGCTCAAAAGCCACCTGAAGGACCGTAAACCTCAAAATGGCATGCAACAAGGCCGCAACCTCGACCTGGTAGCAAACAAAGGTAAGAACAGATGGTAGCTTAACACTGGAAAACCGATGTATTACGTTCAAAGATCAAGCACACTCACAGACAGTGAAGTATGCCTTTACAGGGAAAGGAAAAACCCAATCCCAAAACCAAACTTGCAGCTGGTCTATCTAAACTACCCAGCATGGTGGGGCAAGAACCTGAATCACCTGACAGGTTAATTCTGGAGGACCAAATGGGAATCAGTTGATGAGATACCATAGTCGAACATGGGAGATTAGCTCCACTACAGAGAACTGGAGCTAGACAGATGGACTGAAGACAATGTCCTGGTTGAGGGAAAAAAAAAAATCCACAAACTGTCTTAACTCACCTAATCCTACTACAGGTTCAAACCTAAAAGGGGTCTCATGCATGTAAAAGGCTATACACTCAGACAATCCCACAATCCCAATGACTACAAGGAAGAATGGAATTCTCTCAGAGACCCAATGGCAGTTTCTGAATGCAAAAAGAACCAATGTTTGATCTGAATGATTCAAATGGAACAGAGTAAGGTACATGAGAACTCCCAAAAAAGGACGTATGCAAGGAATAGATGGTAAACAAACAGCAAGCATAGACGGTAAACAAGAACAGCAAGAAAAAAGCCAGAATTGATAGAGCTGAGAACCAAGCACTAACCTATCTGCAAGAAGGGGATAACACTCATGGGGCGAAACCCCATGATAAACTTTGCTGGAAATCCATCCTAGCATCACAGATTTAGAGATGCTCCCGATTCCCTCAATTCAAAGATCGGTTAGAGCCCACTGGACCAGAGTCAGGAGCCTTACCATGCAGGCGAAATACATTCACCTGGTTCAACCCAGAGCAAAGAAGATTGCCAGAAGGCCTTCCATTTTGGGTCTGCAAAGCATACAAAGGAAGAAGCAATAAGGAGGAAGATCCAGGCAAATAGATCCCATAGAGTGAGCAATGCTTCCACTACTCCAAGTAGAGGATTCCTGCAACTGGAGACAAACCTGCTCAGCAAACCATTTAACCAGGATATCAGTGAACTCACATCCAGCGATCTCCATCAGCAACACGGATCCTGGAACACTTGAAATGAGACTAGTGAACAGTGTTGGAATGTGAAAACAGGATCCAAACTACCTCTCTTTGCTCCACGATCCCCTGTAACTCCTTTGATGGTTGGGGCATGACAAATCCAGCGACCCACCAAGGGGATGATCCAGTGGTGTAGAAACAACTACATTCCCTTGAAACTACAGGGTGTAGATTAGAAGACAAAGTTTTGATGATCATGCCCCCTGCAGTGGTAAGATGTCCATGCCACCTCCCCAGCTCAACAGGCTAATGTCCTATGATAGGATCTTCCAGGGGATGGCAAGGAAAAACTTTCTGACTCCAGAGATCTCCCTGCCATTATTCTGGACTTTCTTTTTGCCAACTGGGGAGCTTTGGGAATTACACCTTTGTGTGTTCCAGCTCCAGCATATAACATAATATAATAAAAAATGATCTAGGAGGGATGGGGGCTCACAAGGGCCAGGTAGACCTGAGAACTCATCACAGTGATCTCACCAATAGCATCCCTGAGAGACAGAAAAAAAAAAAAAAGCTTGGGTGATTTAACTCTCCAGAATATACCAAACACTGAAATATCAGTTCTGGTTAGACCAAACTTTTAAATGAGATACCTACTTCTTCTCACAGCAGAACTAGGAGGATAGGAGAGAGCTAAGTTTCCTGAAACGTTCCCACTCAGCTGAGGGTCACCCATCCAGTGCCTTGTAACCTAGTCTTTGTATTCTTCTTCTTCCATCAAATGTCCTCTTGTTTTTCTCTCCTCAGAACTCTGGTGTATGCTACACCCAACTCTCCTTCAGTCCAACCACCTGCTGTTGCAATAGTACCATGCTGACATAAAGTGTGTGATGACTGATGAATAGACTGGATGACAGAGAACATGTTCCAAAATACACTAACCATCACTGGTCAAGACACCAAAGGCCGTGACCGCCTCTGGACTTTCCTATATCAACAGGGCCTACAAAAAGACAAGAGATTACTTTAAACTAGACCCCAGCCCCACATTTTTCCTTACCTGTTTGGAATCAACTTCGATGTCTGCTACATAATTTTCAAACACGGTGGGCACGTAGACTTCAGGGAACTGATCCTTGCTGAACACGATGAGCAGACAGGTCTTCCCGCAAGCTCCATCCCCAACAATCACAAGCTTTTTACGTATGGCAGCCATTACTGCAGGTAGAGAGGGAAGGTCAGTCATACACTTAGTAAGGCTCCATACACACTAGCAGTTTTTTTAAGCCGAAAAAAACGCTGGGAAAAATGCTGGATAAAAAAACGCTGGTAATAGCGTTTTTTGTAGTGTTTTAGTAGCGTTCGGGAGCGTCAGCATTTTAACAGTACATGTAGAGGAAAAAAAAAAAAAAAAAAGCTGTCAAGAGCGTTTTAGTAGTGTTTAGCATTCTGCTGTTAAAATGATCCAAAACAACTCTAAAAAAAACAATTTTTTTTCTGCTCCCAGACATTGAAGCTATAAAAAATGCTAATAGCCTAAAGCAGTGTGCATGGACACATAGGATAACAGGATTTACCTTCTAAGAGCAGAAAAAAAAAATGCTAATAGCTAGGAACTAAAAAAAAAAAAAAAAAATGCTAAAAGTGTATGGAGCCTAAAAAAAAGACACAAGTAGAATAAGAAAACAGTTAATACACCAAAGGAAAAAATGCAACAAATCATCTTGTAGCTTTCATTCTGTATCCTAAGTGGGAGAATGTTATCCAAATGGCTGCTCCATCACATTTTGCTCATACTGGTGTGTTACCAAATCAAACAACCCACTCCTCAGACTACAAATTGATAGCAAAAACAATATAAAATAAACATTTTTGTGCAAGTCACCCTACTGCATATACCCATATACTCAAACATGTGTGATAAAGCAAATTAAGTGTCCATTACAATTGTCCATGCAGTGCTCTGTGCTTTTCAATAAACTTCAAGGAATCAACTAATTCGATGGTGAGATGGAGATGGAAAAAAAAAAACAAACAAACAAAAAAAACATGACACTCGTGTGCCACCACCTTGTACACAAGCAAATCACTGGACACCCACGACCCTTTGATACAATATGGGTCATAAAGAGCTTTTCCCCCCTTTAAGGGAAGGAAGCACCAGACCAGTCACTCCTTTTCCTCCAACCAAACGCACTCTCCCGGTTTAAGCATCAACCAAAAAATGGAGAACTTACATAGTGTAAAATATACAATTGCTCACTCAACTTAAATAGTGCACAAGCTTGTACCCGGGATTAAGTACTCAATCTCATCAACCAACGGCTCCGCTGCTACTGCTGGTTTGCAGCGCAAGCTTATATATTAGATCTCACCCTCCAGACCGTGGCAACGGGATGACGTCACTACTTGATAGCCCACCCTAACGCAGCACTTTGTCATGATGATGTCTTCTGGAATGTGACATGAAGGGACCATGTCTCACGTTCCTCCTTTATTACTATTCCTGTGCTATAGTTCATATACATTGCACAGCTTTAGCTTTATAGCATGGGTAATAGGCAAAAATCTCTATCTCTTGTACTCACTAGCAAGCACCATCACCAAGCCTCTGTTGGCCACTATAATGCAATCCAATGTGAGGCAGATATCTGCCAGCGTATGGGCTCTGGAATTGCACATATACAACCATTAAGCAGGCGTTCACCAGTGTGGTTCTGTACTCACGAAACAAGCACCCGCTAACAAGCCCTGAAGCTCCATTAAGTTAGGTTCACACCTATGCAGTTTCCTGTGTTTCTGCAATGCTTTTTACAGCGTTTTTTATTGGGGGGGGGGGGGGGGTTTCCTCAACTTGTTGCTGGGCAGAATAAAACGCATCAAAAACACTACATGCTTTCCTGCAGTATCTCCATCAGGGTGGATTTGATTTAAATCAAACTGATTTAAATCCCGATTTAAATCACTAGTCAGTAAGGCTTGATTTAAATCCTAGTTTTCTACATATAGACTGATTCTTGCTGGTATAACTTTAATATGCAAGTAGATGAAGATTTTTTAGAATAACAACTTTTCATATTAGTTTTTGTATCCCCAATTTAATAGGTTAATCATTCATATTTGGACAACTTTTCTGTTGTACTTAGGAAGGAGAAAATGAATCATTACCTTAATAATAACAATTTAAATAGATTTATTCAACTGAAACAATAACATTCCAGCATATGTTATTTGCTTAAACATCCATGTTTGTTAACTAATTTGGCTAAACAAAATATATATATTTTAAGAAACTTAGACTGTCAGCCCCTTCCTCCTCACACTTAGTTTCACTTTCTTCTTGTGCAGATCTATTCCACTCCAAACAATCAGAAAAATATTGTTTCTATTCTATTCACTGAACTTCTTGAAACTTAGCACTGAAGGGGTTGATTCTGTATTCTTAGGTTTGTAGAAGTTAGGATGAAGGTCTTTTTTTCTTAACTCTGTTCATGTTATAACATTTTTGCTGTGAAGAAGAGGCATGTGATCTCCGCTGAGTCCAATTCAGTTTTGAGAACTGCAAAAGTAAACCAATCATCTGTGATAATATCTTGTAGGCAGAGAAACTGCCCAATAATCTTACAAAAACCTCTGGAAGAGCATGACATTGTGAATGGATTCATGGAATTTATTTACCAAAAAAATTAAACATATACAGCCTTATTCTACATAATTAAAAAACTAATCTTTATTTCATGATGGAATAACCTTTGGATGGTAATATATTTTCCTCAAAAAGCATTTTATTTAAAAAAAATCCGATTTAAATAAAAAAAAAATCATCTTTTTTAAAAAAAATCATTGATTTTTATCCACCCTCATCTCCATTGAAGTCTCTACAACCAAAAACACACATTTTTAGGTTAAAAAAGTCCCTGGCCCTTTCCAAAAAAAACGCACTGGGTGAAAACGAGGAGATGTGAACCTGTCCTATAGGAAAACATGTTAAATGGCCTGCTGTGCATTTCTGCAAAACGCATAGGTGTGAACCTAGACTTACTCCACAGGCCACTCCAATACAATCCAACCTAAGGCCAATATATGGGCTCTAAAATCACACACATACAATTATTAAGTGGGGCGCTCACAAGTTTAGCACTTCCATAATACAATCTTGTTATACAAGTGCAAATACAATATCATAAACCTGAAAATGCATAAACAATTCTAATAAATATAAAAACACATATAAACTGAAATTGCATAAGAAATTAGCAGTAAAACAACTGAGGTCTATATTTAAACCACATGGGGCCAATTTCTCCAAATTATAGATCCACCAGGTCTTGGTGATTTTAATGGAAATTGTGTGTGTGTGTGTGTATTACACGTACTTATATAGTGCTGTCAATTTACACAGCGCTTTTTACATATATATTGCACATTCACATCAGTCCCTAACCCTCAAGGGGTATACAATCTAAGGTCCCTAACTCACATTCATACAGACACATACTAGGGCCAATTTAGACAAGTGCCGATTCACCTAACAGCATGTCTTTGGAGTGTGGGAGGAAACCGGAGTACCTGAAGGAAACCCACACAGGCACAGGGAGAACATGCAAACTCCAGGCAGGTGGTGCCGTGGTTGGGATTCAAACCAACAATCCTAGTACTGCCAGGTGGAAGTGCTAACCATTTAGCCACTGTAACACACACACACTCACAGACGTAAGTACACCTCTCACATTTTTGTAAATATTTTATTCTATCTTTTCATGTGACAACACTGAAGAAATGACACTTTGCTACAATGTAAAGTAGTGAGTGTACAGTTGTATAACAATGTAAATTTGCTGTCCCCCTCAAAATAACTCAACACACAGCCATTAATGTCTAAACTGCTGGCAACAAAACTGAGTACACCCCTAAGTGACAATGTCCAAATTGGGCCCAATTAGCCATTTTCCTTCCCCGATGTCATGTGACTCGTTAGTGTTACAAGGTCTCAGGTGTGAATGGGGAACAGGTGTGTTTAATTTGGTGTTATCGCTCTCACATACTGGTCACTGGACTTTCAAAGAAATAATCCACTATATTCAGGAAATATGTGGAATCACCATACAGAAAGACCCGTGGATGTGTTTATTTTATTATTTTGATCTTTCTGTGAAACTGCATAAAACAGGGTATTATATCACTTAGTCAGTGCGGATAAGGGCTTGATTCCCAAGTTCTGGCAAGCTCCGGAGCCACTAAGAATAAATGACTGGATAAATAGAGTTGAAAATATTTATAGGATGGAGGAGTATCATATATCATATAGAGCAGCGGTTCTCAACCTGGGGGGTCGAACGACCCTTTCACAGGGGTCGCCTAAGACCATCAGAAAACACATATTTCCGATGGTCTTATGCAGGCCATAGATGGGTCGAAAATCGGCCGATTTTTCGGCCGAAAATAAAATCGGCCGATTTTCGGATCGTTAGTGGGCGATTTGGTCGGCCGTTTTTTTGGTATTTTGGCCGTTTTTTTTTTCGGTAAAGTTGGAAAAAAATCGGCCGATTTTGCCGATCGGCCGATTTTCGCGGCAATTAGTGGGCAAATCGGCCGATTTTTTACCGATAAAAAATCTGCGCATGAGCAGTGACCTGCAAGAGGAAGACAAAAAGAAGAAAAAGAAGAAGAGGAAGACGATGAAGAAGAGGATGAAGAAGAAGAAGAGGATGAAGAAGAAGAAGAGAGGATGAGGATGAAGAAGAGGATGAGGATGAAGAAGAGAAGAGGAGAAGATGAGGATGAGAAGAAGAAGAAGAAGAAGAGGATGAGGAAGAAGAAGAGGATGAGGATGAAGAAGAAGAAGAAGAGGATGAGGATGATGATGAAGAAGAAGAAGAAGAGGATGAGGATGAAGAAGAGGATGAGGATGAAGAAGAAGAAGAAGAAGAGGAGGATGATGATGAAGAAGAAGAGGATGAGGATGCAGAAGAAGAGGATGATGAAGAAGATGAGGATGCAGAAGAAGAAGATGAGGATGATGAAGAAGAAGAGGGTGAGGATGAAGAAGAGGATGAGGATGAAGAAGAAGAAGAGGAGGATGATGATGAAGAAGAAGAGGATGAAGAAGAAGGATGAAGAAGAAGAAGAAGAGGATGAGGAAGAAGAAGAAGAGGAGAGAAGATGAAGAAGAAGAAGAGGATGAGGATGAAGAAGAAGAAGAAGAAGTAGGATGAAAATAAGAAGAATTCCAGTCCAGCAAAAAGTGTCTCTGCAGAGAGCTCCGCTATTTCTGACAGTTCTCTGACAGTTCCTTGACATTTACAGCGGTTGAAATATTGTATCTATTTGTTTCCGAATAAAAACATCTGTATCCTAAATGGAAACAAATAGATACATTGTTGCAACTTCTATAAATGTCAAGGAACTGTCAGAGAACTGTCAAAGAAATAGCAGAGCTCTCTGCAAGGACACTTTTGCCGGCTCTAGACGGGTAGAAAATCGGCCGATTTTTTTTTACCATTGATGGTAACGTCGGCCACTTGAACAACCGATTTTTCGTTTTTTAAAAGAAAAATCTGCAGTTTTTCTCCCCATCTATGGCCTGCATTAGGAACCGAGACACCGCTCCTCTGTCTTCAGGCAGGTCCGCCCACATGCAGATACTCTATGAGGTAGTGCTGAGGGCGGCCGGAGGGGCTTGGCAGGGTGTCCCGCATTCTGCAAGCCTCTCACACTGAACACCAGCACACTGACTGACTGGCTCGCTCCCTCTTCCCTGTGCATTATGAGAGGCCGGTCAGGCTGGAGGCTCCTCCCCTGCAAGGGGTGGGTCGGAGGTGCCCCGCTGCCACCCACTGGTTGCCCTTGTACCTGCTGCATGTTTCCCCGGGCGGGCAGTTGCTCACAACAGCTGGATAGATGTGAGCCGGGCCCCCCTTTCTCTCCGGGGAGGGGGGATCTGGTTACCCGCAGCGCGTGTGCCCCCTACAACCGCTCACCTCCCACGGAGGCTTCTCCTCACAGCATTTGTATGAGGGCTGGCATTGGGGCACCCGGCCCGCTAGAGGGAAGTACACAGCAACCAGCACTCCCAAACTTTCCGGGGTCATACAAGGAGCCTCAGGACAGACGACTTGGTGTGGGATAGGGCTGATATCCTTGGGGGGGGAGGGGGAGGAATACTGGCCATACACACTTCAATTTTACAATCAGATCCAATTGGCAATCAGATTAACTTACGTTCCCATAACATTCCTTCAGTCGACTGACCAGGGCGCAAAATGATCGACCGTTTTGCAATAATTTTATGGTTGGGGGTCACCACAACATGAGGAACTTTATTAAAGGGTCGTGACATTAGGAAGGTTGAGAACCACTGATATAGAGGATAAAACAGAAACATTCAGGAAAACATGGAGTAGTTGGTTAAACTTCAAACCATCTAAAAAGATATCCGGAACAGGTTGGAGTTTAGGGGGAAAGTCTAGAGAGAGTTTGATGGAGTATCTGAAAAGGGAGAGTGGAGGTGGGAGGGAAGGGACATAGATATAGAGAGAAGATTGAGAGGAGAAAGATACTAGGCAATAGGATGTGGACAGGGGCAACTGGAGAGGGGGTTGGTGAGAGGAAGGGGGGGGGGGCGCAACTGGAGAGGGGGTTGGTGGGAGGAAGGGGGAACTGCATAATTTGGAATCTGCATTTATTTTGTTTTCACTGGTATATCCGTTTTTTTTTTTTTTTTTGCATTGGATAGGCTCCACTGTATTGGTAACATAACTTACATCATTCATAGATGCCAGTATACACAGTGCAGCACACATACAGCCCAGTACACTGTTCATATATGTCAGTACATACATTGCAGCAGCACACATACAGATATTGAGTTTTTGTTATAAAACATATCCAGTAAAAAAAAAAATACTAGTAATGGCGGCAATCAGCGACTTATAGCAGGGCTGCGGCAGGCATTCTGACACTGCGGGGGAACTAACTGCCACTGACATCACAATGACACTAATACAGTGATCAGTGCTAATAAAAAGCACTGACACTGTACTAATGACACAGGGGCAGGAAGGGGTTAACATCTGGGGCCATCAAAGGGTTAACTGTGCGCTGGCTTACTGTGTGTGTTTTATTAGTGAAATATGCTGTGTATTTCTCTGCTTTTCAGAGAAATACACAGCAGCATGTTACTGCTGGCAGGAGGGAGACCTGTGTTGTTTGCACACAGGCCTCTCCTGTCAGTGATACTCCGGAGATTGCCGGGGAATCTCTGCCCGGGACCCGGTGATCAACACCTGTAGCCATGCGCTACCCGGATATCCAAAATCACGTATATATACACACGTGATTTTGCACAGCCCTGCCGCAGTAGTTCTGCTATAGGGCGGTCAGGAAGCGGTTAATTTATAATTAGACTCACCTGCAGTTGAATTCTTGTTAATTAGGATTTTGTCTAAAATTTAGCTTTGCTCCCAAGACTTTTGCTGGGGTGTATTAATTTTTGCAACATGGTCTTGAATTAATTTGTTATGAAAAATACTGTTTTTTTGTGTGTGTGCAAATTAACAAATCTTGTTTGCAATCAATGGCCCACATTTGTGGGAGTACTTTGTAGTATAGTGCCCCACAGAAAATGTTGATTCTGAAAGGAAAGTAAAAGGTTTTCTGGCAAATCTGTTGGGGTGTACTCATTTAGGCTCCATTCACACTTATGTGACTTGTCATGCAACTTTGGGGTCCAAAGTCGAATGACAAGTTGCCCCCCCCCCCCCCCCCCCATGTTTCCTAATGGGTACCATTCATATCTGTGCGACTTCAAAGTAGTTCCTGCTCTACTTTGATCCGACTTTCATGCAACTTGAGGGCCATAGACTTGTAAACCCTCAAAAGTCACACCTGAATGTTGTACATGTGACATGTGCAACTTTGTACAGCAGAAACAATTATCATTTGTACAAGCCAAAGTCGCACTCATCCAAAGTTGAGTCAAGTTGCACTGTAGTGTTGCAATGAAAATCTCACGATTTTGAAGAAGTCGCACAAGTGTGAATGAAGCCTTAGACCCCATGTACACAGGACGTATCTGAACGATGGAAACTGACTGCTGGAAAACGTAGGTTAAAAAACGTCTGTTTAGCCGCGTTTGCATAACGTATTTGCGTTTAGAAGCGTTTTTTTAAACATAAGCACAGGAGAGCCTCCCAAATGCCCAGAATGCACTGAAAAGTGGTAAATTATTAACTATTTCAGACTGTTTCAGAGAAATACAGAGAGAGTAGAAGCAGAGACAGAAGTATGTGTTGAGATAATTAGGTGTGAGTTGGTCATTAACATTTCTTTGTTTCCAAGGGTGGGAAAGGTGTCTGGTGGCATAAGTCATAAGGTCACCTGGCGGGGGGGGGGGGGGGGGGGGTGTCTTCATGGGGCATTTGAGGTGTGAATGGGCATTAACATATCTTTTGTTTCCAAGGGTGGGAGAGGTCTGAGGTGTGAATTGGTCATTCCAATGTGTGACAAGCTTGGTAGGAACATCCTGTGTTCAGTGTTTTGTCCATCTGAGTACCTTGAAAACGCTTTGCATGCATTTTTCATGATGAAAAAAGGCTCTGGTCAGCATTGGAAACTGGAAAAGTTAAAAAAAAAAAAAAAAAAATTCAAACGCAAACGCTTATAAATGCGATTTGCAGCGTTTAGACGCGTATACAAGCATTTTGCGTTTGAAACGCTGTTAAAATCGATGTCTGAATGCAAGTTTGTTGCGTTAAAAAAAAAAACGACTGTAAACTCAACTGCCTGTAAATGACTGTAAACGAAGATGTGTACATGGATACATAGGAAAACATTAGGGTGAGTTCAGGGGCTGCTGGAAAAAAAAAAACGCTGAACGGCTCCTAAACTCGAGTTTAGCAGCAGTGTACATGAGCCCTTACACTGAGCACTGTAGCTGGTGATTTGTATTTACCACTGCATACAGATTATCAAGAATAAATATATTTTTTTTAAACTTTACATATTAACTAAATTATACACTACTCTTTGAGGTTTTTATTCCATTATTCGAAACATTAATTGGTCAACTAGTTGATTGTGAAAATAATTGTTAGTTGCAGCCATAGTGATGTCACACCACTAATATAGGGAGAGAGTGTTAGGACACCAGTAAAATATAACTTACAGGAGGGTAAAATAAGTATTGAACAAGTCACCATTTTTCTAGGTAAATTATTTCTAAAGGTGCAATTGACATGAAATGTTCACCACAAGTCGGAAACAACCCATGCAATCCATACATACAAAGAAAACAAAACAAATAATTTCAGAAATCAGGGTATGTGTAATAAAATTGAATGACACAGGGAAAAAAGTATTGAACACATGAAAAAAGGGAGGTACAAAAAGGCATGGAAAGCCAGACAGCTGAAATTAGAAAGCAATCCTGCTCCTTGTCAGTACAAATTAATATCAGCTGATTCAGTCTCAACTGATGGCCTACAAAAAGGTGTCCGATTACCAAAAGGTGTCATACAAGAAACATCTCATGATGGGTAAAAGCAAAGAGCTCTCTAAAGCCCTTCACAACCTTATTGTTCCAAATATACTGATGGCACTGTTTACAGAAGGGTTTCTAAACATCTGAATGTTCCAGTGAGCACTGTTGGGGCCATAATCCGGAAGTGGAAAGAACACAATTTCACTATAAACCGGCCATGACCAGGTGCTCTCGCAAGATTTCTGACAGAGTGAAAAGAATTATCAGAAGTTGTTGAAGAGCCAAGGACCACTTGTGGAGAGCTTCAGAAAGACCTGGAATTAGCAGGTACAATTGTTTCAAAGAAAACAACAAGTAATGCACTCAACCACCATGGCCTGTATGCAAGCTCACCACGCAAGACTCCATAGCGGAGAAAAAGCATGCTGAAGCTTGTTTAAAGTTTGCTGCACAACATTTACACAAGCCTGTGAAATACTGGGAGAATATTGTCTGGTCAGATGAGACCAAAATTGAACTCTTTGGATGCCATAATAAACACCATGTTTGGAGGTCAAATGACACTGCTCATCACCCCAAAAACACCATACCAATAGTGAAGCTTGGAGGTGGGAATATCATGGTGTGGGGCTCTTTTTCAGCATACAGTACTGGCAAACTTCATATCACTGAAGAAAGAATGAATGGAAAAACGTACTGAGACATTCTTGATAAAAATCTGCTGCCATCTACCAGGATGATGAAGATAAAATGAGGGTGGACATTTCCGCAAGACAATGATCCCAAGAAAACTCTTAATTGGATTTAAAAAAATAAAGCTGCTAGAATGGCCCAGCCAATCACCTGACTTGAATCCAATAGAAATCTATGGAAAGAACTAAAGATCAGAGTTCACAGAAGAGGCCCATGGAACCTTCAACATCTGAAGAATAGGACAAAATCACACCTGAGCAAATGCAATACTTCTCCCCTGTGTCATTCCATTTTATTACACATAACTTAAATTTCTGAACGTATTTGTTTTGGTTTCCTTGTATGTATGGAATGCATAGGTTGTTACCGACGTTGTGAAACGTTCATGTCAATAGCACCTTTAGAAATATATTTACTGAAAAAAATGGTGACATGTTCAATAGTTATTTTACTCGCTGCATATGGAAATCTGTGATGTCACACCAATACGCTATAACTTAGATGGAGGGCGGGTGATGTCACACCAGTACGCTATAACTTAGATGGAGGGCGGTGATGTCACACCGGTACGCTATAACTTAGATGGAGGGCGGTGATGTCACACCAATACGCTATAACTTAGATGGAGGGCGGTGATGTCACACCAGTACGCTATAACTTAGATGGAGGGCGGTGATGTCACACCGGTACGCTATAACTTAGATGGAGGGCGGTGATGTCACACCAGTACGATATAACTTAGATGGAGGGCGGTGATGTCACACCGGTACGCAATATAACTTAGATGGAGGGCGGTGATGTCACACCAGTACGCTATAACTTAGATGGAGGGCGGTATGATGTCACACCGGTACGATATAACTTAGATGGAGGGCGGTGATGTCACACCGGTGCGTGATGTCACACCACCGGACGCTATAACTTAGATGGAGGGCGGTGATGTCACACCGGTACGCTATAACTTAGATGGAGGGCGGTGATGTCACACCGGTACGATATAACTTAGATGGAGGGCGGTGATGTCACACCCGGTACGCTATAACTTAGATGGAGGGCGGTGATGTCACACCGGTGCGATATAACTTAGATGGAGGGCGGTGATGTCACACCGGTACGATATAACTTAGATGGAGGGCGGTGATGTCACACCGGTACGCTATAACTTAGATGGAGGGCGGTGATGTCACACCGGTACGATATAACTTAGATGGAGGGCGGTGATGTCACACCGGTGCGATATAACTTAGATGGAGGGCGGTGATGCCACACCGGAGCGATATAACTTAGATGGAGGGCGGTGATGCACACACCGGTACGATATAACTTAGATGGAGGGCGGTGATGTCACACCGGTGCGATATAACTTAGATGGAGGGCGGTGATGCCACACCGATATAACTTAGATGGAGGGCGGTGATATAACTTAGATGGAGGGCGGTGATGCCACACCGGTGCGATATAACTTAGATGGAGGGCGGTGATGTCACACCAATACGATATAACTTAGATGGAGGGCGGTGATGTCACACCGGTACGATATAACTTAGATGGAGGGCGGTGATGTCACACCGGTGCGATATAACTTAGATGGAGGGCGGTGATGTCACACCGGTGCGATATAACTTAGATGGAGGGCGGTGATGTCACACCGGTGCGATATAACTTAGATGGAGGGCGGTGATGTCACACCGGTGCGATATAACTTAGATGGAGGGCGGTGATGTCACACCGGTGCGATATAACTTAGATGGAGGGCGGTGATGTCACACCGGTGCGATATAACTTAGATGGAGAGCGGTGATGCCACACCGGTGCGATATAACTTAGATGGAGGGCGGTGATGTCACACCGGTAGCGATATAACTTAGATGGAGGGCGGTGATGTCACACAGGTAGCGATATAACTTAGATGGAGGGCGGTGATGCCACACAGGTACGCTATAACTTAGATGGAGGGCGGTGATGTCACACCGGTGCGATATAACTTAGATGGAGGGCGGTGATGTCACACCGGTAAATATAACTTAGATGGAGGGCGGTGATGCCACACCGGTACGATATAACTTAGATGGAGGGCGGTGATGTCACACCGGTGCAATATAACTTAGATGGAGGGCGGTGATGTCACACCGGTGCAATATAACTTAGATGGAGGGCGGTGATGTCACACCGGTACGATATAACTTAGATGGAGGGCGGTGATGTCACACCGGTGCGATATAACTTAGATGGAGGGCGGTGATGTCACACCGGTGCGATATAACTTAGATGGATGGCGGTGATGCCACACCGGTAGCGATATAACTTAGATGGAGGGCGGTGATGCCACACCGGAGCGATATAACTTAGATGGAGGGCAGTGATGTCACACCGGTAAGATATAACTTAGATGGAGGGCAGTGATGTCACACCGGTGCAATATAACTTAGATGGAGGGCGGTGATGCCACACCGGTGCAATATAACTTAGATGGAGGGCGGTGATGCCACACCGGTACGATATAACTTAGATGGAGGGCAGTGATGCCACACCGGTGCGATATAACTTAGATGGAGGGCGGTGATGTCACACCGGTGCAATATAACTTAGATGGAGGGCGGTGATGCCACACCGGTACGATATAACTTAGATGGAGGGCTGTGATGTCACAGCGGTGCGACATAACTTAGATGGACGGCGGTGATGCCACACCGGTATGATATAACTTAGATGGAGGGCTGTGATGTCACAGCGGTGCGACATAACTTAGATAGAGGGCGGTGATGTCACACCAGTATAACACTTGTTGGGTAGTGATGTGACATGTGTATGATGGAAGTCCTATTTTATAGAGGATGACACCAATGCTCAGTAATCCCCCCTCTGGTGTCATCTGGAGAAGTGGGGGCTGCGGGTAGCTGTGTGTGGCCCTGACCCTCTTTGGGATACAACAGGTGATCTGGTGTGAATGAAGGGCTAAAATCTGTTCCTGTCTCTGCTCCTGCATGAGCTGCCCTCTTGGGTCAGAGGTGATGGACTCAGGCACATAGTTTGTATGGGTGTCATCATCTGCCCCCTGGATGCCCCGCCCTCAAACGTCACCGATAACTTTTGCTTCCATACTCAGAAGTCCGGAAATAACAGCCCTCCGCCGCCCCGGGCGATTCAATTACACCACCTGTGCCCCCCCCCCCCCCCCCCAAGTCCCTAGTGACGTCATACCCTCTTGTGACGTTTCGACACCCTCGAGCGGGAAACACCCGAAAACCGCGCACACGGGTCACCTGAGTAGGCTGCTCTCCGCCGTGATTCGCACAAGGTGGGATAGACTTGGATTGAGGTAATGTTTTCTAGGAAGAGAATCCGCTTACCGTCAGCTCTATCCCGCTGCTTCCACCCGTCCGACCAGCCGTGACGTGTCCAGCGTTCCGCCCTGCCCTCCAATCACAGCTTCCACCGCCCAATACTGACAGAAGCAGAAGCCAATAGAGAAGCCCAGAGCACGAGCGTACAACTGACAGGAAGAGGGAGGGATTGACGCCTCGAAGAAGCCAATCGAAAGCCTGACAGACCCGCCAGTCCCAAAAGGTATTAGGCAGT